AATAATTTTGAGATATGGGCAGAGCAAAAGATATTATCTGACATTGAAAAAAAACAATAAGACAATGCATTATTCTAAAGTTAATTATTTTCCTTTCCTTAGAGACATTGTACTCAGGAGTTAAGTACATAAATCTTTTAGATATTTTATATTTTATTACAAAAATATTAAGGACAATTAGTTAATTTATTCTTGGTAAAACACCTGCCATCAAAAGATAGAGTTTACTGAAAAGGGATCAAAAATTGAATTAGTAATTTTTGATGCTTTTTGCTGAAAATATTAATGATTTTAAAAATAGCTTTCAGGATGTATGCATGCATGTATATACACAAAATATGCAAATACATTGATAAAGTTAAAAGAGCTGTGTGCTATATAACTTTTACGCAGCAAAGATATCAACGCACTATGATTAGCCTAAATGTAAATAGATAGGAATGTACATTTATTGAATTAATTTGCTTCTCTTTCAAATGGCTTATAAAGCAGAATAAATTATTGAGTATGGGAAAATAATCATTTGGAAGTGTGGATAATGTCTATAATATCTGCTCTAGTTACCTTCCTTGATAAATATGACATTTGTGAAATAGCAGAAGTAATGATGATGAAAATCTATGCCTAAAGGCATTGGTAAAATTCTATTACTTTCTTTATTTTCTGACATTATTACTCTTGATAAAATAAAAGCAATATAAAATTATGTGAACTATACATATTTATAGATGAAAAATTTGCATAAATTGTGGTTGAACTTTATAATTTGAATAAATTCCAGCATAATTATCATGAAGAATACATAAGATTAATATATTCTTTAACGTACCTTCTTCTGAAATGCAAGATTTGATAGAGTAAAATTTCTCTTTGAAGCATTATTATTTTTAAAAAGCTTCATTTGAATATTTTTTTATTTCAGCTAGTTTCTGACAAAGACTCTCATAATTATCGAACAAGCCAAACAAAAAAATGTGGGTGAGAAGTAGCTAGAGTTCAAGCATATTTGTATATTATTTGATTATCATAACATAAGAATGTCAAAGGTAGATAAGATGGCAGCTTTTTCTGGTGTTATATAAGGTTGTCAACTCTTTATTCTGTATTATCAACAAATTATAAGATGACTGTACTTACTAATAATTTATTCTGTGTTTACTTACAATTTAAACAACATATAGGGTAGTTTTATAAAACATCAATATGATATAAAGCTGGAAGTTATTTCACTAGAATTAAGGAGTAGAATCTGGAAGATGAAATAAAGCCATAACAAGAATCTATTTCTACCCTATGATTCAAAAAGGTAACCAAGCATCAAGATGCACGAAAATCTAACTTGGCAAGAGTTTTTATTAAAATAAAAGGGCGTATAATGGTTGTAGCGTGGTATGTGCTTTGAAGGGATGTGAAATTGCAAATAGAAATAGCTAGGTAAACTAATATTTCTTTGGTACAAAATAAAAACAGAAGAAATGGAATATTGAAGTGAGTAACATTTAAGTACTAAACTCTACTTCAGTTTTGCTTTGAGAAATTCATATCAAGAATGAATGCAGATGCAATTTATGTCTTATTTACTATGTTTGAAAGAAAATTTGTCATTTTTCCACCAAGATATTAAAATAGGGCTTTTTACAAGGCACTTTTTCAAATAGGTATGAGGTACATTTTCAATAATTACTCCTCCTCACCTAGTTTATAAAAACAAAAGTATAAGGAAAAACTACATGAACACAATTAGAATATCATTTATGAAATATTGTACTTAAAATACTAGTCAAACAGTGAAAATATGGAACCAACATTGTTTTCTGACATAACTTTCTCTCATGATAAGGGTTCATTTCAATGCCAGACTGGAAGATTATATATACAGCACAAAATACTGTTTTGGGGTGATACAGCCATAAATTATGTCAAGCTAGTATAATACAAAATTATGATTTATTTTGTTGATTTATTCTGAAACAAACTAATAAAATATAAACAAACAACCACCCCACACACCACCAAAGTGTACTATTATTATATACTTGAAAGTGTACAGGCAAAAAAAATCTGTTAAATATTATTTTTAAAAATGTTTTTAAAGCTCTGTTTCAGAGGAAAAATCTCAGACATGATGCCCTTGATGTAGCCTCACTCACATAGTTCCATAATTTCCACGTAAACCACCAGGAAAAATGGTAAAAATGGTATATATTTGAGGTATAAAAATTTATGACATTATATATTAAGTTAAGCTAATTAACATATTCATCATATCACATACTTATCATATGTTGTCTAATTAAATATTTAAAATTAATTCTTTTGCAAACCATAATTATAAAATATAATTTCACTATAGTCTCTTATTTGCAAAAGTGAGCAGAACATTACTCCTTTAGCATAGTGCTGCCAAATTATTGATGTTGCTGCAAATGCCAGAATTTGTTTTTGAAAACTGATATTTCATTATATAATAATATGTTTTATTTACCCATTTATCAGTCAATGAACATTTAGGTTGTTTTTATATCAGCCATTCTCAATAGAGCTGCAATAAACAAGGGAATAAAGACATCTTTTCAAGATAGTGATTTCCTTTTTAAATAAATATATACCTAGAATTGACATTTATAGATCAGATTAGTACTTTTAATTTTTGTAGAAAAATTCTCTACTACTACATTGTCACCAACATTTACCTTTATATCTTTCTGAAAACCTCATATGACTGTGCTATTGATTTTGATTTCCCCGTTTATTAGCAATAGTGAACACTTTTCCCCCATACATTATTGTATTTATATGTCTTTTTTTTGGCAAAAGTTAAAGAATATTGCTTGTTTTCTGCCCATTTAATTTTTTTTGCTGCATAAGTTTTTAATAAATTTTGAGTGTCAGTGAGGGACAATAATTTAGTTTCTAGGTTTTACTGAGCTTCTTGTAAATAGTAGTTATTAAAAAATATTTATTGCACAGTGAGAAAAGAAATAAATTCAGAAACATGTCCTACATATATTAGTTATCACAGCCAACATTATGAGAAATATGATAAAACGTTTTGAAATGAACTTTAGAGCGATATAAAGTCTTCTAATCCTAATGGATAAATACTAAAGCAGACTCCAAAATACATATTTAAGGGAGTGATTTTTTCCCCCTGAATATTAACATTTTGGTTCAGGTAGATTAATGAACTTTCACATAAAGGGGAAAATACAACTGTGTATAAAGATACTCAGAAAGGAGAAAAAATATAACTACTCCATAATTAATGTTGAAATATCAGAATAGTTCCTTTTACTAGGGATTTATACTGTCAAAATTGCTTAAAAACCCAGTTTCTCCCTGAGGATTAAAAGGTAAAGGTAAAGGCCCTCCCGTTGATCGTCGATTTGCTCGAGCGGGCCCAGTAACGTCTCCATTGGAGACTTTGTTGTTACTGTGTCTGGCATATCGAATACTCTCGGTAGCTTGCCGGGCTCTCCCTGAGGATTATAACAGAGAATTACTAATTTTTCTAAGAAATAAATAAAATAGCAATGAAGAATTTCACACTATAAATATTAGTCTCTAAACATTAGTCTTATTTTGTCTTTATTAGTCTTTGTTTCTTTTCATTAGTCTTTCTTTTAAACTTTTTAAATATTATTTTAAAATTATAGCTCAAGTAACATGGTTCCAATGGCGTTTAACATTTATGACTCGATGTACCAATCAACTGCATACAAGCTTGCCTTCAAAATTTGAATTCCTTTAAAATGTTCACTGACCTAGCCTCTGGGAATAAACACTACACACAGATTTTAACATATGAGCAAAACCATGGATATGATTTATCACATTCCTTCCTAAACAAATCTTGCCATGCGACCAAAAAACAGTAAGAAAAAAAAGATACTATATTGGAAGGAGTTTAAAAACCACACACACAAACACTGACTCAATCATAGGTTGCAATAGAGGCATATTGCCTAAGCACAAGGCATATTTTCAATCTAATATATTCTCTCCATGAGTTAGTTAATACACCATCAAGTCTCAAATACCTAATGGAGTCATATACTTAAGGTAACAGATATGTTACCAAAGTCCTGGTAACACACTAACTAGGGCTAACAAGTTTAACACTAAAAATGCAAAGGATCTAGAATTAGAATTTCCAAATTCAAGCACTGACTGCATTTTTATGAGCCTCTTAGCATTAGGCATGTCACCTAACTCTTTGATTAAATAATTTTCTAAAAATAACAACATTTGATAATATGGAAGAACACACAAAATGTTTTACATCTTTTAAATTGCTTGAAAATATTTTCAAATATTCAAACAATTTTAAAATATTTTCAAATAATAAATTATAATTCTAATTATAAAAAATTAATAATAACAACCAACCACCAGAAATAAGTGTTCCATCACGGAAATTATATGCAAGAAAGCTGATCAACTATCACTGCACTGTTTCCTCTTACTGGGGGGATAAAGATGGTATTAAACAGGGAGAGAAGGTAATTGTTACTCTCAATTTCAAGTATAATTTATGGTCTTGCTGTATATTTTATCTCAAAGGCAATAAATTGCAATGAAAGAAAAGTTACAAGGAATCCCAATAATTTAACTTGGCTAAAGAATGAAACTGGTACCCATAAATCTTTAGTAAATTCACAAATGGGTTGGAACTCTAGAGGGATTCTCATTAACTTAATACTTCAAGGATCAACTTAACCCCAAACCCCCAAATATGATCAAAGTGTTCAAGATCAAGTTACAGTTAATGCATTTCACTCAAAGCTATATCTCAACATTTGTGCTGCCAATCTTGAAAATAGAATTTTCTGAATTACAAAAGCTCTGTCAAAATATCAAATCTCAAATTTCAGCCTTCAGATAGTTGATATTCATCTCATGCCCATCTGCCCATTATTCTTTGGACTTACTGTTACTGATGCTCAGAAATAAATAACCTCTGAGTTAGTAATGCCTGCCAGTTGATCAAGGTTACTTACCCTTTGACCTTCTTTTCCAGGTGGACCTTCAGGACCTGGCACCCCCAGGGCACCCTATGAGAAATAAAGAACATAATGTGTTCATAACAGTCTTACAAAAATGCAAGCATTGATACTCACTTTCTTTTACCAAACAAGTCTTGAAAACCAATTTGAGCTTTTTAAAGATTTAGACTATGATAAATTGCTGATATTTGGCTTATTTTTGTAGTAAACTCCAGAAAAGCGGAGGAGGAATTTCAAACTAGGTGTGAGGCCCAGTGTTCACTGTCATTGAATGTTTCCATATGATCAGACCCATATTTCAATTAGCTGCATTAAATACATGGTAATTATTTGCAAATGGGGAAATATGCCTTTCTATTTATGTAAACTATGAACACAGTTTTGAATGAAAGTAGTATAAACACATGGTTTTCCCACTGATTTCAAATTTTCTTATTCAAAAAACGTTTTATAGCATTTATTTAATATATTCTCGTAACATAGCCATGTGGTAGAAAAAATCATCAGTTTTTTCAAATTATAAATCTCAGTGTTGTTAATTTGGTAATCAAGTCTCTTAATTCTTGTCGTTAAAATTATACCTGAATTTAAAATGACAACATGGCTATATTTAAAAAAAATCCTTCATGCAGTAATTTCTGGTTTTTACTCCCATAAAGCTTTACTGTGTCCTCCTAACATTAAATGTGGAACTTCATCTTATTCAACGTGTTCTCCCCATGATTTCCTATGCTGAAAGCTTTAGAGTCTCATTGTTAATGATTCAAAGATTTTTGTTTTGTTTTAGGGTCACACCTGGTGTGCTTGGGGCTTATTGCTGATTCTACACTAAAGGATCACTCCCAGTGATAGGACTATATGGAATGCAGAGGACCAAGCATTGGTCAGCCACAAGCCAGGCAAGCACTCTACCTTCTATAGTATCTCTATAGCATCTGATTAGATTTTAAAATCTATTTTTCTGGCTGCAAATCCATCCATTTAAATGCATGTTTTATATATGTACTCCATAATTTCCAAGTCATGCAGAATTTAGCAAGAACTTAGGATGGTTCCTACACAATTGGATCATCTTTCAGTATAACTAAACCACATTCTCTCAGACTCACCAGAAACCTCTAATTTCTCTACCTTCTTAAACGTCTTCACATCCAGCGACTGAATCTGGTACTACCATTTTCTCTCTATTCTTAATGAATTCACCATAATTTCTTGCTTATCTGCCAGAATTTCATAGTTTATCTAAACACTATCTCTTCATTTTACCACAGGATAGCCGTATCAGAAAACAGCCTTACTTACTTTGATTTTCCACATGAAGAAAAAATAAAAGCACAAATAAAGTGGCTTGTATTTGTCTCTTGAGGTAATTGTCAAAATTCATCTAGATCCATTTTTTTAATGATTTGTTTCTATCACCATAGTTTAAGGACAGTAGCAAAACTGTGTCATACCCATCAAAGTATATGCCTAGGAATGTCTGAGAAAAAAAATTCACATTGGGAAGTCAATTTTCTCTAAGAAAAATTTGGGGGTAAAATTTTATTTTCAAAAAATGTTACCTGTGAGGAATAACCAGTCATAAGTAAAATGGCTTAAATTATTTGGAATAAATAAGAACTCTAGAACTCATATCCAAACAAATATGAATTTGCTTTTATGCCAGAAGAAACATTTCATTGTCATCTAATGTCATTCTTGTCATTTTTTAAAAAAAGTTAGGATTAATTTTCGTATATGACCCTGTCTTTAGTAGTCATGGCTACCTTTCAAATGAAATATTATGTGTGGCTGTGGTGGCTTTCATTATGTACTATGTACATTTTTTTAACAGGAACTCCATTTTCACAAATGTCAAAATACATGACTTCATAATATGTCATATATTTTCTGTGAAAACATATAGACACTTAAATTCTGTTTAATATAAATATATAAGCAGTTAAATTCTGTGAGTTTTTTTTTGGGGGGGTGATACGGAATTTCATACGGTATGCACAGAGCTTACTCTATGTGTTCTAGGATGACTCCTGGAAGTTCTCAGGAGACCATATATTGTGGCTGGCTGCATTTAAGGCAAATTCTTCACCCAAATCACTATCTCTTCAACCCACGATACATTTAAATTATTATTTAGGTAGCTTTTATTTAGTTAATGCGGTCAGAATTATTAAAATTTATTGGAAATTTGGGGCTGGAGTGATAGCACAGCGGGTAGGGCGTTTGCCTTGCACATGGCTGGCTGGGTTCAATCCCCAGCATCCCATATCGTCCCCCAAGCACTGCCAGGAGTAATTCCTGAGTACAAAGCCAGGAGTGACTTTTGAGCATCGCCAGGTGTGACCCCAAAATAAAAATAATTTACTATATATATATGTATATATCTGTATATATACATATATACAGATATATATACTATATATATACATATATATAGTAAATTATAGCGACTAGTTTCCAAAAAGCACTAATACAAAACTGCATGTGTCACTGACCCTCAATATTTCTCAAAATTGTCCCAATTCCTCCACAAAATAAATTAACCAAATAAAACATGTATTACTTTTGGAACAATCTAATGTTATGAAGCAGTCAGAGTCTATATTTTCATCACTTAGATAGAAGTAAACCCCAGAAATTAAAAATGTGATTAGTTTTATCTGTTGCTACAAAACTTCACCTGTTGAATAATATGGAAAGTTAGTTAATTAAGTCAACTTTTAGAGAGCAAGTTCATAATACATATAAAAAAAACAAATGTTGAAATATAAGCATGCCAAGTATTAATTACAGTGTAGTTACAGGGAGTTGGTCATTTTTTTTTATAAGATTGACATAATCTTGGCTCTGGATTAAACACATCTTTCTTGCCCTTAGGAAAACTATTATCATTTCATGAATAGTCAACTTAAATACAACATTTTTTGATATGCATCCAAATGTTGACAGTTCTTTTAATGTTCTTAAACATGAGTTATCATACACAAATACATCAAATGTTTATCAATGAAATACATCAAATGTTTATCAATGGAGTACAATTATTTCTGAGTCACAGATACTAAAATTTCCACTTCACTGGGTGAAGAAATATATGAAAAGCCTAGATCAAAAAATTTCATGTGGAAGGTATTTCATGGAAAATCAGAACAATTTGTGTGAAAACAGTGTACCACCAAAGTACTATTATACTTGTACCAACAAACTTATTAATATGCCTCTTCATGGCTCTCAATTTCCCATCCACCTTTGACCATTCTAGTACCCAGCTAGCAGTCTGACAAAATTATTAGAAAACTGGATTACTATTTGAACTATCCATGATCAATTTTTCCAAGTCACATGCATTAATATTCATATTTTAGTCTCCTTATTGAATATTAGCTAACATTTACAAAAAATGTCAATGTTGTTAGTAAAATATCGATCAGCCAGTTGTAAATAAACATAGTTTTCCTAAATTGGTTAATTTAACTTCGGAATGATTCATTATTTACAATTATTTAGCTCAGTACACCCATTTAGAAAAGTCAAACTCACTTATTATGTATCTAATACATATAATCCCTTATTATATCATTAATTATAAAAATTATAGATATACCTATGCACCTGCATATTTAAATTAAACTTCAGTAGAACTCTGCATTGTATCAGAACTCCTTTCACAATTCTTTCTTACTCTGGCCTTGTAAATGCTACTATGTATATCTCTTAGTTGTCTGTAGTTTTTAAAGAGAGATTGATTATTTTCTAATCTGTATTTAGAGAAGAGACTCAATAAAAATTAGTACATTGGATCATAACAAAGAAAACATTGGCTTAGTACAATGAACCCTAACAGTGGTGGGGAAAAGTTTTTGTATATAGAATCATGCACATTTAAACTAGGATTAAACAATATTGGAAAACCTTTACTCTTCCTTATTTGTAAAGTTTATTCTATTCACTGATCTTTAAGTTAAATTGACTTATAATTTATTTAATAATTAATCGTTAACCACCATGACATCCTATTACAGAAGAAATAACACTCTATCTGTTGCCACTAATTGAAATTTTACAGATATATAGCAATTTTTTCTAACTTTAGAATCGTATTCTTAAGTATCTTTCTGCATTTGGCATATTTGCAAAATTAAGCATCTCTTTAAGCTGCCAAAAATACCTATCCATTTCTTCTTCTTGTCCAACTACTTAGGTCTATAAAAAACTGTAAATTGTATTATTCCTAAAATTTTACAAAGATTTATTTCTTTCCTAAAAGGGAAGCTTAAAAATGCCCTTAGGTTATTCATGAAGTAAACATCTGCGTATTTCTAGATAGGCATCAGTTTTTTTCACAGTGAGATTCTGGGCATTTAAACTGTTGACAAAGGAAGGAATTCATGACTGTTACCTCTTTGTCTAGGATAAAAGTATGTTAAAAAAAAATAGTTTTAGCCAGCTAAACCATTTTAAGTTTTAGAGGCTAGCTATTAAAGTATACTGCATTCCTCATAGCTCTCTCTGGACAATCTGCTGATTATTTAAAACAGAGCAGAACTTATCATCATGGAAGCCCAAGTAAATATTTAACTGAGAAATTACTTAGAATTAACTGGTTCAGAACAAATTTTGAAATGTTTAACAAATACAGCAGATGTTTAGTATAGTTGATAGGGTAGATTAATTACATTGGAATATATTTTCGTTTGTGAAAAATACAAGATATAGTCATAACTTTTCAATCAGAAAAGAAAAAAACTGAAGTGAAAAAGGGAAGTTTCATTTTAAAGTATTATTTGTACTCCCTTACCAGGAATGTTGCAGAACATATGATACCTAAAACTCACTTCAACAAAAATGTTATGCAAGTAAGTATATTTTAAGTGTTATGATTATTGCTTTAGAATATGCTTCATAAATTTGAAGCATAATCTGCATAAATTCTTAAAATACCAGTCAGGCATTTTCTTATGTTTCAAATAGATTGTATAAAATTAAAATGGAAAATAGAGTTTATCTGTCCTTATAGAAAATTTCATGCTTTGAATATGAGAACAATG